AGTTATGCCTCTGCCTCCTTTAGCGACAGTGGTAATTGTAATAAGTGTAGCTTATTTGCTGCGTTGGAGGCGAGGCTTAGTGAATTAGAAGCGCGGCTCCGCACCATGGAAAACCATTCAGTAGCTGCGGTAGTTAGCCAGCCCCCTGTAGCTGGTACGGAGCCACATAGCATAGCCTCTTCGAGTGGACCTCTGGGAACCCCCGTGCAGCCAGGAGACTGGGTAACTGTCCGGGAGAAGTGTAGCTCCAAGCCGAAGCCCATGGTTCACCACCAGCCTGTTCATGTTTCCAACCACTTTTCCACACTCGGCGACACAGTGAGGATAAAACTCTGGTTATTGGCAGCTCTATTCTGAGAAACGTGAAGTTAGCAACACCAGGGGCCATAGTCAAATGTATCCCTGGGGCCAGAGCGGGCGGCACTGAGTCAGATTTAAAACTGCTGGCTAAAGCTAAACGTAGATTCAGTAAGATTCTTATTCACATCGGCGGCAATGACACTTGGTTACGCCAATCGGAGGTCACTAAAATTAATATTGTCTTGGTGTGTGAATATGCAAAAACTATGTCGGACTCCGTAGGTTTCTCTGAACTCCTCCCACTGATCACTGATGACATGTTTAGCCGCATGTCATCATTTAATCACTGGCTGTCCAGGTGGTGTCCAGCAAACAATGTGGGTTTCGTTAATCATTGGCAAACTTTCTGGGGAAAACCTGGTCTTATTAGGAGAGACGGCATTCATCCCACTTTGGATGGAGCTGCTCTCATTTCTAGGAGCCTGGCAAATTTTATTAGTATTGGTGTCTTTACAGGCCTGAGTAAAAAATCAATCACTCAGAGTCGCAGTCCTATACGCCTCTCTGAGCTTCTAGTTCAGTTACCCAGCCATAGTTTTCATAGTTTTTTACAAACAGTGTCTGTCCCCCGACCACCTAAATTATTTAAATCTAAAATTAAACAAAGAGGAGTTGTGCATAACAACCTCATAAAAATTAAAACCTCTTCTGTGACAGAAAGACAAAACAGGAGAATTAAATGCGGACTGTTAAATATCAGGTCTCTATCGTCTAAAGCAGTGTTAGTAAACGAATTAATATCAGATAATCATATTGATTTACTCAGTCTCACTGAAACCTGGCTGTGTCAAGATGAATATGTTAGTCTTAATGAGTCCACTCCTCCCAGTCATAATAATACCCACATTCCTCGAGGCAGCGGCCGAGGAGGGGGAGTTGCAGCCATTTTTAACTCTAGTCTGTTAATCAGCCCTAAACCTAAACTAGATTATAATTCATTTGAAAGCCTCGTTCTTAGTCTTTTACATCCGACCTGGAAAACCTTGCAGCCACTTTTATTTGTTATAGTGTACCGTGCTCCTGGCCCGTATTCTGAATTTGTTTCTGAATTCTCAGAGTTTTTATCCAGTTTAGTTCTTAAATCAGCTAAAGTTATTATTGTAGGCAATTTTAACATTCATGTCGACGTTGATAATGACTCCCTGGCTACCGCGTTTATCTCATTATTAGACTCCATTGGCTCCAGTCAGGGTGTACATGAACCCACTCATTGTTTTAACCATACCCTCGATCTAGTTCTGACGTATGGAATTGAAATTGATAATCTATCAGTCTTTCCACAGAATCCCTTGCTATCGGATCATTATCTGATTACTTTTGATTTCTTTTTACTCGATTACACGCCACTCAGCAACAGTTACTATACTAGATGTTTATCAGATAGTGCTGTCGCAAAATTTAAGGAAATGATTACTCCGTCGTTAAATTCAATACCAAGTCCTACAGTAACAGACGTTTCCCATGCCGACTTTAACCTCTCCCGAATTGATCATCTTGTTGATAGCGCCGTAGGCTCGCTGCGAACAACGCTCGACTCTGTAGCTCCTCTTAAAAAGAAGTTAACAAAGCAAAGAAAGTTTGCTCCTTAGTATAACTCTCAAACCCATAAGTTAAAACAAATATTGCGAAAATTTGAAAGGAATTGGCGATTAACCAAACTGGAAGAATCTCTTTTAATCTGGACAGACAGTCTCAAAACCTATAAGAGGGGCCTCCGCAATGCCAGAGCAAACTATTACTCAGCATTAATAGAGGAAAACAAGAACAACCCCAGGTTTCTTTTCAGCACTGTAGCCAGGCTGACTGAGAGTCAAAGCTCTATTGAGCCTTGTATTCCTTTAGCCCTTAGCAGTAATGATTTTATGAGCTTTTTTAATGACAAAATTCTAACTATTAGAGGCAAAATTCATGACCTCCTGTCCTCAGATAGTAGGCCTACCTATTTAACCTCAAACACGGCTGTAAGACCTAATATATATTTAGATTGCTTCTCCCCGATTTCTTTTCAAGAATTGACAGCAGTGATTTCTTCATCTAAATCATCAACGTGTCTCTTAGACCCCATCCCAACTAGGCTACTTAAGGAGGTCTTACCTTTAGTTAACACTCATATATTAGATATGATCAATATATCCCTATTAACAGGCTATGTACCACAGTCTTTTAAGGTAGCCGTAATTAAACCTCTACTAAAAAAGGCCACCCTGGATCCAGAGGTGTTAGCCAACTATAGACCAATATCTAATCTTCCCTTTATGTCAAAGATCCTTGAGAAAGTAGTCGCAGACCAGCTGTGTGATTTTCTCCATGATAATAATTTATTTGAGGAATTTCAGTCAGGATTTAGAGTGCATCATAGCACTGAGACAGCACTAGTTAAAATTACAAATGACCTTCTGATTGCTTCAGACAAAGGACTTGTCTCTGTACTTGTTTTATTAGATCTTAGTGCAGCGTTTGACACTATTGACCATCAAATTCTGCTACAGAGACTGGATCACTTAATTGGCCTAAAAGGTTCTGCACTAAGCTGGTTTAAATCTTATTTATCTGATCGTTTTCAGTTCTGTACGACATCTATTGCACGTCTGTCCGTCCTGGAAGAGGGATCCCTCCTCAGTTGCTCTTCCTGAGGTTTCTACCATTTTTTCCCCATTAAAGGTTTTTTGTTTGGGGAGTTTTTCCTGATCAGCTGTGAGGGTCATAAGGACAGAGGGATGTCGTATGCTGTAAAGCCCTGTGAGGCAAATTGTGATTTGTGATATTGGGCTTTATAAATAAAATTGATTGATTGATTGATTGATTGTTGTACACAATGTTTCTGTAAGTTATTAAAACTCTGAATGCTGCGAAGTTAACATGATGATCAAAAAACATCCAGGTTAAATTAATTGAGATCAGTTTTTGGTTTCTAAAGATGATTTTTTTCTAAAACAAGAGAGACTGTTGGAACATCCAGCGAACCTTCCTTCACCATGAACACCACTCTCACAGAGTTACAGGCTAATTTATATTAAGTTCAGTGACATGTAAAAACATCAGGAGGATGTAACATGTCGGATGGCAAGTTAAGACGGTGGCATTTGAAACTCTGTGGTAACGCAGACTGTATCTCTTCATCTCAGACACATTATAGGAACAGATATGTAAAGTGAAGTCACAATGGAAAAAAGACAAAATGAGCTAACACACCTGATGCTAACGCTACCGTCAGTGAACGCACCATGTAAGTGAAGCTAACTCAGACTGTTCACTGACAGGCTTCTTTACTACTGCTGTTGGTTCACAGAGAAGAACCAGAGTAACAGGAGGATATTTAAAAACTGAACTACGTCTTTGAGTCCTGACAATTTTAGTGAGATCAGATTATCAGGTTTGATTAAAACATTCTGACATCTCTGACCTTCATCATCGCTCTCCTCCTCCTCATTTCTGCAGGCTGTGTCTCTGGGCATCACCTCCTTCACACTCTGCGCTCTGGGCATCGATCGTTTCCACGCCGCTACCTCCTCGTCCCAGCCGAAGGCCCGGCGGGTGGAGCGCTGCCGCACGGTGCTGCTGAAGCTGCTGCTGGTGTGGCTCGCCGCCCTGCTGTTGTCCAGCCCCGAAATCTTCCTGTGGCAGCTTAGCCAGGCCGTGTCCCCGTCCACCGGCCGGCTGGTCGACTCTTGCACCATCACCCCCTCCTCCCCTCTGTCCCTCTACCTGCCCGACTCTCTCCACTCTCTGCTGCTCAGGTACCACCAGGTGAGGATGCAACACACACACTGAGACACACACTCACACACATTGAGACACACTTAGACATACACACACACACACACACACACACACACACACTCGTCTTTAACGTCACTTTTAAAAACCTGTTATTTTATATTTGATTTCATTTTATCGAGGCAGGTTGGATCAAACTGACACAGGACTTCACCCCACAAGACTGGTGATCATACAAAACCAAGTGAACTCTAGGTTATTGTAATGTACATCGTCACATCGTCACGTGACATTTGAGTCGTAATGTACATCATCATGTGATGTTTGAGTTGTTGTAATGTATGTCATCACATCACCACATGACGTTTGAGTTGTTGTTACGTATGTCGTCACATCGTCATGCGATGTTTGAGTTGTTGTAACGTATGTCGTCACATGACGTTTGAGTTGTAACAGATGTCATCACGTTGTCACATGACATTTGAGTTGTTGTAACGTAAGTTGTCACTTGGGAAAATCACGTTAGAGCTATTGTAACGTAAATCGTCACATTGTCATGTGACATTTGAGTTGTTGTAATGTATGTTGTCACATTGGTACGTGATGTTTGAGTTATTGTAACGTAAATCGTCACATCGTAACGAGATGTTTAAGTTGTTGTAACGTACGTTGTCAAATTGTCACGTGACGTTTGAGTTGTAACGTAAATCGTCACAGTCACCTGATGTTTGAGTTGTAACATCTGTTGTCACATTGGTACATGACATTTGATTCATTGTAACATACGTCGTCATGAAGTGATGTTTGAGTAGTTGTAACGTACGCTGTCGCATCGGCACGATACGTTTGAGTTGTTGTAACATAAGTTGTCACATCGTCACGTGGCGTTACGTACAAAACTTTATTCGAAGACGAGGCCTGACTGTGATTATTTTCCAAATATGCAGAGGTGCTAATTTAAGATATCATACTAACTGTCATACGAGGACTCATATTATTATGAACAACTGAAGTACCACAAAGTATGACTGTAAGTAATCAGATTACTGCTGGACTCTGTCCCAGGGTCGTATGTGGTGGTGTTTCGGCTGCTACTTCTGCCTCCCCATCCTCTTCACCATCCTCTGCCAGATGGCCACGCGTAACGTCAACAATGACTCAAGTTCCACTCAGAAGCAACGTAACCAAGACGACCGCTCCGCCAATCAGAAGCGCCAGCAGCACCAGGCGGTTGAGCGCCAGCTCAACTGCACGCTGTTGGCCTTAGCGGTGGTTTACGGTGTCTGCGCTCTTCCCGAACACATCTGCAACATCACGCTGGCCTACACGCACATTACGGTGTCCGAGGACACGGCCGCCATGCTGACTCTGCTGCATCACTTCCTGTTGTTCTTTAAGTCATCAGTGACGCCGGTGCTGCTGCTGTGTCTGTGTAAGGTAAGTCACGTGGTTAATGGAGGAGATGGTCACATGGTCATTAATTGGTCACTGAGAAGACACCTCTGATTGGTCCCTGAGACATCCTCTGATTGGTCTCTGAGACGTCGTCTGATTGGTCCCTGAGGCGTCCTCTGACTGGTTCTTGAGACATCCTCTGATTGGTCCCCGAGGTGTCCTCTGATTGGTCCTTGAGACGTCCTCTGATTGGTCACAGAGACGTCCTCTGGTCACAGAGACGTTCTCACAGAGATGTCCTCTGATTGGTCCCTGAGGCATCCTCTGATTGGTCACAGAGATCCTCTGATTGGTCCCTCAGACGTCTTCTGATTGATCCCTGAGATGTCCTCTGATTGGTCCTTGAGACGTCCTCTGATTGGTTCCCGAGGCATCCTCTGATTGGTCCCTCAGACGTCTTCTGATTGATCCCTCAGATGTCCTCTGATTGATCCCTCAGACAACCTCTGATTGGTCACTGAGACGTCCCCTGATTGGTCCCTGAGACATCCTCTGATTGTTCCCTGAGATGTCTTCTGATTGGTCCCTGAGATGTCCTCTGATTGGTCACAGAGACGTCCTCTGATTGGTCAGAAAGACATCCTCTGATTGGTCAGAAAGACATCCTCTGATTGGTCACAGAGACGTTCTCTGGTCACAGAGACGTTCTCACAGAGATGTTCTCTGATTGGTCCCTGAGGCATCCTCTGATTGGTCACAGAGATCCTCTGATTGATCCCTCAGACGTCTTCTGACTGATCCCTGAGATGTCCTCTGATTGATCCCTGAGATGTCCTCTGATTGGTCCCTGAGACGTCCTCTGATTGGTCCCTGAGACGTCCTCTGATTGGTCCCTGAGACGTCCTCTGATTGGTCCCTGAGACGTCCTCTGATTGGTCCCTGAGACGTCCTCTGATTGGTCCCTGAGACGTCCTCTGATTGGTCCCTGAGACGTCCTCTGATTGGTCCCTGAGACGTCCTCTGATTGGTCCCTGAGACGTCCTCTGATTGGTCCCTGAGATGTCCTCTGATTGGTCCCTGAGACGTCCTCTGATTGGTCCCTGAGACGTCCTCTGATTGGTCCCGAGGCATCTGCTGATTGGTCCTTGAGACGTCCTCTGATTGGTCCCTGAGACGTCCTCTGATTGATCCCTCAGACATCTTCTGATTGATCCCTCAGATGTCCTCTGATTGATCCCTCAGATGTCCTCTGATTGATCCCTGAGACGTCCTTTGATTCATCCCTCAGATGTCCTCTGATTGGTCACTGAGACGTCCTCTGATTGGTCACAGAGATGTCCTCTGATTGGTCACAGAGACGTCCTCACAGAGAGATCCTCTGTTTCGTCCCTGAGACGTCCTCTGATTGTTCCCTGAGATCCTCTGATTGGTCCCTGAGACGTCCTCTGATTGGTCCCTCAGACGTCTTCTGATTGATCCCTGAGATGTCCTCTGATTGATTCCTCAGATGTCCTCTGATTAGTCCCTGAGACATCCTCTGATTGGTTCTTGAGACATCCTCTGATTGATCCCTCAGATGTCCTCTGATTGGTCACAGAGACGTTTTCAGACAGAAGTCCTCTGGTCACTGAGACCCTCAGATTGGTCACTGAGATGTCCTCTGATTGGTCCCTGAGATGTCCTAATTGGTCCCTGACCCAGGTGTCTCTGTGTCTTCAGGCTCTGGGACAGGCCTTCATGGACTGTTGCTGCTGCTGCTGTCAGGAGTGTCAGCCAACCACCACTCAGGGCTTGCCAAGCTCCGCCCAGGTCAAACTGAAGGCAGCCAATGAGACGTCCATCTTCTTCGACAAGGCTAAAGAGACGTCAGCCATCTTGTCCATCTCCAGCTAGAGACATAGGTCCCTTTGTAACCTTCAGTCCACCATGTCCTCATCCATGAGTCAATCCTTTGTTTGACCCTTCATCATCATCATCATCATCATCCTCAGTGTTAACTTGTCCTCTGTCCAAAGCTCCTCCTCCAGAACACTTGTAGACCATCTGTCTGTCTCTCTGTCCTCTCGTCCTCCTTCAGAGTCTCCATGTGTGTGATATCCTCTATGGACACAGTGTTTTCCCTGCAGCTTCCTGTCTGTACAGGAAGTGATGTTTAATCTGTAGCGAGGTTAGAAAAGTTGCTGTTGTTGCACAACCAGCTGCTGTAAAAGCAGGAGCCTGTTTCAGGACGCCACACAGACTCCTCCCCCCAACTTCCTGCTGTGATGACGTACGATCTGAAAACCACAGACATCCAAAGGGTTCACCTGTTTCATGGAGAAGAAGCTGAAACAGGAAGTTACATCAGAAACAGCAGAACAACAGTGTGTCGCACAAACAGGGTTTCGGTTAGGGACTTTTCTTTATCTATCAGAGGAGGGGGCGGAGCAGCAGTGTGACTCCGCCCTCCACCATAAATGAGGGTTTTTTTGGGAAAAATTTTAAACAAGATGTAGACTGTTTTAACATCAGATCTGTTTTTTTTTTTTTTTTTTAATGATGGACGCGTTCATCACATGATGTGTTCAAGGACCGTTGGAAATTTGAAAATCCAACAATAATTTCTGTTTTTAGAGTTTCGGCTGACAAACGAGTCCTTTTGGAAATTTTTAAAGAAAACATGTTTGAAGATCTGCAGTAAAATAAATCCAAAATAAAACATGTAAGCCCCGCCCCTCAGCCAGAATGAAACCATAAGCCCCTCCCCAATGGTTAAAAAATGATTTGACGGATGAAAGTTTCAGCGTTGGCATGATCGACACAACGTGGGGTCATATTCAAATTTAGCCGTCCAACGAAAAGAAACGGAATGACTATGCAAAGGTTTTTAACCTGACGGGATTCCAGGCATCTGAATCACCACAGATTCACTTAGTGATGTACGAACAGTGAACCAATCAGGACTTCATTGATGGGAGATCTGAGTTTAAAGTATTGCCCAAAATTACCCCACCCCCAGCAATTTGGAAACAACCCTAGTGTTCTGTCGTAACGCCACCCACATCTAGAGAAAAACCTGTTTGGTTCACTGGAAGTGTTTTTTGATTTAATGTCGTCAAGCTGCCGCAGAAGCTGCAGCCCGTACCTTCTGTGGTGACGTCCAGCGTGATGTGTTTAAAGGAGTTGCCACCAAAACATCAGAATATCAGTGGCGTCTGAAACCTTTCAGTCAGCTGATGGGGGTCAGATGGAGAAGAAGAACTGAAGGTGTCAGATAGAGAACTTTACTGGTTTCAATTTAACAATCCTGGAATCAGTTTCTGAGAGGAGATGTCTCCATCTGTGGATTGATGAAGCTCTGCAGGTTTTATCTGGTCCGATGAGGCTCTGCAGGTTTTATCTGGACAGATGAGGTTCTGCAGGTTCATTAATAGGCCCATTTCCACCGCAGGAACTTTGGGGCAATTTTACGGGGCCGGGGCCGTTGGTGCGTGTCTCCACCGCAGGAACCACCCCCGAAGGACAGAGTTCCGGAACTTTTACAGGGGCTAAACAAGTCCCTGCCTCGGAGTAGGTACTCAGAACGGCCCCGAAAGACTCCTGGCTGGGGCTTGGGGGTTACTTGGTGCTGATTGGATATACTCACGGCGAAATGTGACGTCAACAGAAAGCAACAAAATAGCCGGCATTTTTAAAACTCAGCAGACGAGGGTTAGCTCGCTCATATAGCTAGCACCGCAACAAACTGAAGAACCGGTCTGTGAAAAACATATTTTTTTCCGGCGGATATCTTAGTTACATGATTTAGCTAGCAAAGCAGTTTTGTGTTGCTATGTGTGGTATTTATTCAGTTTTGGTAAATCGCAATGTCTAGAAAGCATCAGTGGCTGCAGCTGACAGGGACAGCTAACGTTAACACTAGCAGCAAAGCTAACATCAGGATCGTCATCCGTTAAAAGCCTCCCGTTGTCAGAAACGACATGAAACTACTCCAGTTAGCTCAATCATGTTGTAACTAAGACATCCGCTGGAAAAAATATTTTTTTCACGGGCCACTTTGTGAGTTTACTGAGTTATTACAGACACCGCTATCGGCTAACAGCTATCAGCATCCCTACGTCGCCCCGGTCAAAATGGTCGCACAATGATTACATCACATCCAGAGCCCGGTAACTTTACAGGAACCTTCCTCCTACTCCGCTCTCTCAGTGGAGACACGGTGGTTGAGAGGGCCGAGCGAGAGGACGTTCCTGTAGTAGTTCCTGCCCCCCAAATAGTACCAGGAACTTCTTCAGTGGAAACAGGCCTAATGTTTCCTAGAGGAAAGAAGGAGGTGAAGGAAGGGAGGGAGGAGATCTGAAGAGTGTTTGAACAGGACTCTCGGTACCGAGGCGGCCTCTCTGTACAGGAAGTTAAAGTGTGTAGTTAGTGTGTCATTGTATTAATGTTTCACTCAGACAGAAGATATAGTGACGTCGTTTTAATTTTAGATTTATAACTAATCTTTATATGAAGTGAGTCATTTCTTTTTCAATGTCACATGAATGTTTGTAAAGTTCACTGTCAGCATGTTCAGTTCATATGTGTCAGAGCCAACTGTGCCTTAGTGTACCTTCAGCCCTCAGCTCAGACTGTCAGGCTGTCTGAATCAACAGATGATGTAACAGTCAGAGAAAATAGTCTGACTAACGTTAACACTGAGCAGCTCCCTCAAACTGAGTCACCGTCTGATGCTACAAGTTTTAATAAAATAAAATAAAAAGATCAATCAGATCTGTGCATGCTTGAGAGCGGCCATGCCCTCAACAACGTGTTTTAATGCCGTTATCTCAAGATTATGATTTATTTATTTCATTATCTGAAGAAAATAAAGCGCGATAACTGGAGTTGATGAAATAAATAACCCGTGTCACAGCGTGTCCTCGTACAACTATTCAGATGATGTCCCTCAAACTATCACTCCATTCTGTAGCTCTGCCCCTTGTTATAAACGTTCGGTTCTTGAAGAGTACGTTAAAGTTCACACGGCTCTGAACCGAAACCCGCATCCTCACTGAGGCCTGACGTCCTGAATAAGACAGTTTCACATGAATCACGCAGGACGTCGGAAAGTTGATGCAGGTGGTTTATATTTGATGCTGTTTGTCACATATGAACCATAAATATAAACCGTGATTGTGTTTTTTTACTTTATTAGTCTCTTCTTACAGATGGTAAAATGCTGTTTTATTTCCTGGACTGGAGAAAAGACATGTGACTTACTAACTGATGTCATGTTGGAGTTTAATGTGAACATGAAGTGTCTGTTTCAATCTAAAAATCTAACTTCAGTGTCTGTCGTCCATTTTTCTGTCAATGTGTCTCTGCAGGTTGACTTGATCTTGTGAAGGAGGCATAAACCGACAGATCCCATGTAGACATGATAATTTATAAATAAAGTTGTGTAATTTAAACTGCAGCTGTCTGGAAAACTTATTGATGCAATAATGATGTCACTGACCAAACAACCTGCGGAGTCCCTCAGGGTTCATGTCTGAGGCATCTGTCATTCGACCTGTTTGATGTCTGTAGCTGAAAGTTTCAGGAGTTATGACGAAGGTTCATTAAAGTTTAGACATAGTGACTCAGCTGAAGTTTTTAATGACCCAAAAAACTGATGGATGAATCATCAGAATGATGAAGGACTGGTTTTAAAAAACGATCTGGTTCTTCTATGATGATGTAATTGACTTCATCAGGCTGATGATTAATGAAGGTTAATTAACAAGACAAAAACAGGGCGTCAGTAGCATAGTGGGTAGTGCCGGTGCCCCATGTACAGAGGCTATGCCTCACTGCAGCGGTAGCAGGTTCGATTCCAGCTTGCAACCCCTTGCTGCATGTCATCCCCCCCAACTCTCTCTCTCTCCCCAGTCCACACTGTCCTGTTGATTAAGGGCAAAAAGCCCAAAAAATAATCTTTAAAAAAAACAAGACAAAACGTCCGTCGACGAGGAAACATTTAAAGTCATCTCTCACCTTCAGTCTGAGGAGAGAAAAACTACAGATACTAAAACTATTCATTTTATTTTAAATTACAAACCTTTTGTTTCTATAATGTTAAATATTCAAAGACAAACAGCCGGACAACAACTTTGTTCAAATTAAAAACTAAATTCTAAAACTGTTAAAATTAAGGTCAGGAACAATGTGATGAAGACGAAGGAAACAAGATGGAGTCAAACACTAACTGAGCTCAGGAACCTCTGAAAACATTTATTTTAACATTTAAAGAACAAATAAAATCTGGTTTCATTTTCAATGAAAAAAAAAACAGACAGAGAAACTCATGTGAAGGAATCCTTCGTCTCAGAGCAGCTACGAGCTGCTGCACTGCATATCAATGACCTCACTACTGTCCCGTCGCCATGGGATACCAGCCCAAATTCACTCACACACACACACACACACACACACACACACAGACACTGACACACACGCACGTACACACACACACACACACACACACATACACTGACACACACGCATGTACACACACACACACACACACACACACACACACACCATGGGGGGGTGGGGGGTGGGGGCATTAGAAAGTCCAAAAGTTTGTTGTACTGTGACCTCACGCCTCTGTCACCACATTTCATCTGTTTCTTCTGTTGCTGATAACGAACTGTCAGAAACTTCAGGTGAGTAAAAACATGATACAAGGAGCTCTTCAGAGGAGGACCGGGGGGGGGGGGGGGGGGGGGGGGGGGGGGAGGAGGAGGAACAGAGGGAGAGATTGATGGAGGAACAGAGTGTTTCAGGAGGTGATGTTGTTCTCATTAGTAGTGGTGAGAGTTCGTCTGAAACAAACGACCGAACAGAAACTCCTCTGTTCACTAATGAAGCCACACACACACACACACACACACACACACACACAGGCGACTAGACCTCCATTGGTCATACAAGAACAGACTGGATGGGAACCAACTGTTACTTAACACGAAGGTCACAGGTTCGAGTCCCACATATTCTCTTAAGGGGTGTGTGTGTGTGTGTGTGTGTGTGTGTGTGTGTGTGTGTGTATGTGTTTCTCCTCCTCCTCTTATTAATTAATTTAATCTTTCTGGTGTCGGCCTGAATTTAGATTTTTGTAGATCTGCTTTAAAACAAAATTGAATATCTCAAATACACTGAACAGAGTCCTGCAGACACGAGTTAGCATGTTAGCATGTTAGCATGTTAGCACTTCCTGTTCCCTAGTGTTTTTGGTTAGATGTGTGATATGAGGTCTGTGTTAACATGAGCTGGAGAGACGTCAATAGTCCACTGTCAGTTTACAGCTTTATGTGACGTTAAGTCATGTGACCGTGGCGTATTTTGTTTACGGCCTGGTTGTGATGGTGACGTTAAGTCCTGTTTGAGGAGGGAACCAGGCCAGTGCTAACTTCAGAAAGAGGTCATCCCTTTAGACAGACAGAGAGACATGAGCGTGAGGAAGATGAGACAAAGTCTTTGACAGGTTTGAGGACGGATGATGTTCAGTGGGAAAAATGTGGTAAAGTTTCTTTGACACGTAAAATTCATAAGAAAACTGATCGACATTACTGTAAGCACAGAAACACAGACACTTCACTGGCTTCTGGATCGTACATCAACATCAACGTTTTCTGGATAAAAATGCACCATACTGTTTCTACATATCCTCGTGTAATGACTTGTAATGACATCATATGAACTAGTGGTGTCCTGATGTAAAGGTACGTGATAGGTAAGTTAAGTAAAGTTGCCGTGGTTGGCTTCAGGAAAAGAAACATGATGTCCTTTATAAAGACTCAGAGTTCACTTGGTCCTGAACAGCGATCTTCGGAGGTAAGTCCTGTGTTCTGTGACCTGTTCACCACCCCAACCTGCGACCTTACAGGACCACTTCCTTCTTCAATCCCAGCAGCACAATGGTCACATGATCACAGCCTCCCAAAATACGAGGGTTACACATGAATACTGGCTCATGATACCGTGGCATGAGTTTGCATTTTGGTGAATTACTTTGATATTTTCAGTCAGAAAACGTAGGAACTGTCAGAGCGTTTTTATTTATTGACTCAGTTCTTGTCATTTTTAATTTAAGAGTTTATTATCTATGTTAGAAAATAAAGTTTTTCCACTAGTTAATCATGATCTGGGCCCTCATTTATAAAGCTCGCTTACGCACAAAACGGGGCTTGAAAGTGGCGTATGCCACTTCCCACGCAAAGGTTGTGATTTATAAAAATAAACTTGGCGGGAGAATGTGCGCACCTGTAAGCAAACTCTGAGTCATGCGTGCACATATTTTGGAGACACTGGGAAGTGGCGACGCAGATGGCGAGGTGGAGAAGTGGAGTCAGATTTTTATTGATGTCTCACATTAATTTAATGTCACGCTATATCCACCTTAGATCCACGTTATCATTGAAATTAAATCCAGCAGCCTTATTTTGCGCTTGGAGTGAGTGATAATTGTTTCATAAAAACATTGTAA